AGTGATAAAATGCCAGATAACTGTTTCAATAATGCATATATGGGATATGAAGGGTCTCACCTATTTTTCAAAGGAGGAAATAGTGACAAGAGGCTGTCTTCTTCATGGGGTTTCCACGTGAGCCCTTCCTATTTGCCCATTAGGAAAGCAGAGGTGCAATGTAGATTGAACATAAAAGTATTTTCCAAGGACATTTTCCCTCCGTAGTGTGGTTGTGCCCATTTGGCAGAGATGGAAGGTGAGGCCCGGAGAGGATTTTGTGTTCACCTCAAATCCCAGTGATGCAGCTGGGTTTTAGCCTCTGGTTTCTCTGGCTCCTGACTCCAAACACTTCCTGCTCTACCATGCTGCTGGGTGCTGTCATCCCTGGAAGTTTCTAGGTGTTGGCTCAGCCCACATAGTCTAAGGACGTGGCACAGTTATCAGCCAGTGTGAGGAGACCTGGCTCGGGGCAGTGGAGGGGAGGGCCTGGTGGGGCTCTGGCCATCTGCACCTCACCGGGTGACATGTCCTCCACAGACCGGGAGGCGGCGCTGTGGGAGATGGAGGAGCATCACCTGCAGGAGAGGCACCAGCTGGTGAAGCAGCAGCTCAAAGACCAGTACTTCCTCCAGCGGCACGAGCTGGTGCGCAAGCATGAGAAGGTGAGGCTCCTAGTCAGCTTGGGTTCGGGGGCTGCCACCGGGAGACCTGGGAGAGCCGCGAGGCTGCCCCTCAGTGGGGCATCACTTGCTCCTGAGAGCAGCCAAGTCGGCCACAGTGAGGCTTGAGAGCTTCTTGGGCGATGTCCTGCCTCAGATCCAGGGGCTAGGAATTGGGGAAACTGGCAGGGAAGCAGATGGCCCAAGCAGCTCCCTCGCTGACCCTGACACCTGATGTACGTGTCTCTCTCACTTTTTCCCTTTTTTTGTCCTGCCTTTCTTTCCATTTTCATTTTATATCTCTTTCCCATGCATTCCCCCAGAATACTTTTTTAATTGAAGTATAGTTGCTTTACAATGTTGTGCTAATTTCTGCAGTACAGCAAAGTGACTGTTATGTGCATACATTCTTTTTAAAATATTCTTTTCCATTATGGTTTATTCCAGGAGATTGGACACAGTTCCCTGTGCTGTACAGTAGGACCTTGATGTTTATCCATTCTAAACGTAATAGTTTGTATCTGCTAATCCCAAACCCCCAGTTCATCCCTCTCCCTCCCCACCTGGCCTTGGCAACCACAAGTCTATCCTCTATGTCTGTGAGCCTGTTTCTGTTTTGTAGATAGGTTCTTTTAGATTCCACATATAAGTGATATCATTTGGGATTTGTCTTTCTGACTTACTTTACTTCGTATGACCATCTGTAGTTGCATCCATGTTGCTGCAAATGGCATTATTTTCTTTTTTATGGCTGAGTAGTATTCCATTGTGTATATGTACCACATCATCTTTATCCATTCATCCATTTAGAGACATTTAGGTTGTGTCCATGTCTTGGCTATTGTGAATAGTGCTGCTATGATCATAGGGGTGCATGTATCTGTTTGAATTATAGTTTTGTCCAGGTATATGCCCAGGAGTGGGATTGCTGGATCATATGGTAACTCTATTTTTAGTTTTCTGAGGAACCTCCCATACTGTTTTCCGTAGTGGCTGCACCAACTTACATTCCCACCAACAGTGTAGGAGGGCTCCCTTTTCTCCAAACCCTCACCAGCATTTGTTATGCGTAGACTTTCTAATGGTGGCCATTCTGAGCAATGTGAGGTGGTACCTCATTGTAGTTTTGATTTGCATTTCTCTAATAATTAGTGATGTTGAGCATCTTTTCACGTGCCTACTGGCCATCTGTATGTCTTCTCTGGATAAATGTCTTTTTTTTTTTTTTTGTGGTACGCGGGCCTCTCACTGTTGTGGCCTCTCCCGTTGCGGAGCACAGGCTCCGGACGCGCAGGCCCAGCGGCCATGGCTCACGAGCCCAGCCGCTCTGCGGCATGTGGGATCCTCCCAGACCGGGGCACGAACCCGTGTCCCCTGCATCGGCAGGCGGACTCTCAACCACTGTGCCACCAGGGAAGCCCCTTCTGCCCATTTTTCGATTGGGTTGCTTGGGTTTTTTTTTGTTGTTAAGTCGTATGAGCTGTTTGTATATTTTGGAGATTAAGAAGGCATTCAGAAGGTAAGAAGGTAAGGTTATTAACGGTAATCTTTAAAGTGAGAACAGAAGATGATATTTAAGGATAGTATAGTAAAATGACACGAGCCTTGCTCTGCCGAGCATTCTGGACCACGCAGGTCCTGGGCTCCTGAGTTGCGTGTGGCAGCCTTGGCATCTGACCACGCCTGCGTGCGTGGAACGCAGCTGACCTTGGCCTCTGCTGGGTGTCCCCCTCAGGAGTGCGAGCAGATGCAGCGCTACAACCAGCGCATGATGGAGCAGCTGAAGGTGCGGCAGCAGCAGGAAAAGGCGCGGCTGCCCAAGATTCAGAGGAGCGAGGGCAAGACACGCATGGCCATGTACAAGAAGAGCCTCCACATCAACGGGGCGGGCAGTGCCGCTGAGCAGCGCGAGAAGATCAAGCAGGTGGGGGGCCGGGGGTGTCCTGGAGTGGGGCCAGATCCAGGTTTGGTTTGGCCTGAATCTTACATGGTTGGGAGGGGGTATAGAATATAAGACGCAGCACGGGGTCTTGGAAGGAGGAATGGAATGGAAGCCAGAAGTAACAGCCCGGAAGCCTAAAAGCCTCACGTTGACTCCTCCTCTGGTGGACAGGGGAGGAGGCTTGGCGTTGCATCTCATGCGTGTTCCCTGTCACACTCAGGGTGTCTATCCTGCAGCTGCTTCTGCTGGTAAACTCCTTCCTCTCCTCTACTGAGACCCCGCTCACAAGTCACCCATGTGGCTCCGGGACAGAGTCGGTGGCCGTGGGCTCCTGTGATTCCTGCTTACTACATACGCTGTCCTAGCATGTCTCAGTGTCCTCGCCAATCTGGGGGCTCCTTGAGGGCAGGGGCTGGGTCTCAGCTCAGCGGGGAGAACTTCAGACAGGGGGCACAGCCTGAGTGGTACAAGGCAGTGTGGCTCTGTACAAACCAGCCCCTCAGATGGGGTTTCCCCGGGACAGGGCTGAGCTGGGCCCCCAGCCAGGCCCGTGGCCCGCTGAGGTGCCTCACCTGTTCTCTGTTGCAGTTCTCCCAGCAGGAGGAGAAGAGGCAGAAGTCAGAGCGGCTGCAGCAGCAGCAAAAACATGAGAGCCAGACGCGGGACATGGCGGCACAGTGCGAGAGCAACATGGGCGAGCTGCAGCAGCTGCAGGTACTGCCCTTCTGCCCCGCCCCTGCTCGCCTCACCGTCCCCCCGACCCCAGGCAGTCAGCTCCCTGGGGGCCCAAAGACCCTACAAACGGGGGAAGGAGTCTGAAGCTCAGGGTGGAATGGTTTCCATCCTGCCGCTCTGTGTGATGTTGGCCAAATCACATCACCCTCCCAGGCCATAGTTTCCACATTCATAAAATAGGCAGGGGGTAAGGATGATAATTCCTATTTTGCAGAACTGGAGTGAGGCTTTGTAAATGAGATGACTGACAGAGCTGAGCTGAACGTGCCATGCCCGGGGCCTGGCAGTGGGCATGCTGCTGGATTTCTCGGTCACCACTGTGTCTTGGGAAAAGGTGTCCCAATTACCCTAACACCAAAACCAGACGTTACAAGGAGGAAAACTACAGACCTGTATCTCTCATGAACACAGATGCACAAATCCCCAACGAAACGTTGGCAAATAGAATTTAAAAATGTATAAAAAGTAGTATACACCAGGACCAGGCGGGATTTATCCCAGGGCTGGTGCAATAGATGAAAATGAGTTAATATAATCCATGACATCAGCAGGCTAAAGAAACATCACGTGATCATATCATCAACAGATACAGAAAAAGTATTTGACAGAAGCTGACCTCTGCTCATGATAAACCTTCTCAGTAAACTAGGAATAGAGGGGAACTTCCTCAACTTGATAAAGGGTATCTGTAAAAACCTACAGCGACTTACCATCATCCTTAATGGTGAGAAGCTCAGAGCTTTCCCACTGAAGTCAGGAAAAGGTATCCTGATACTGACAGGCCCCTTTGTGACCTCCTTCCCTGGGGAGATCCTTGACCTCTTGTTTGCCTCACAAAAGGTTTGCCTCACCCTAAGGGTCCCTGCCCGGGAGCTGGTACTTGGAGCCCCCTTGTGGTGGAGCGAGGCATTGCCATACCTGACAGATGGGCTGACTCGAACCTCTGTGACCTCAGGAAATTCTTTAGGCTATGGGATCCATCTGGCAATTTCTGGACAGGCAGGGAGATGTGGGGGAAACATTGCAGGTATTGAAGCCTGTCAGGTAGGGGCTCTGCTGCTTGTTTCTGTGTGAATTTTAGCCAGGCCACTCACCTTCTGTATCTATGTTCCCAACCCTGCCTCATGGGTTTACTGTGAGGATGAACTGAGAAAACCCATAGAGTGCTGGGACCCCGGCTCTGGGCAGGCCAGAGGTACTCAGGGCTGCCATAAGTATTATTCCCAACCAAGGCAATTTTTAAATTCCCAGAACCCTTGAGCTTGAAACCCCAAATAAAAATTCCCCAAGGGGTTGTACTCTTCCAGTCCAGTAGGGTTGAGGTATCTGGATAAAGGCACTTTCCCAGTAGGGTTGAGGTATCTGGATGAAGGCACTTTCCCCCTGCTTCTAAACTCCTTATAAACCACGAGATTGATTCCCTGTGAGGAATCAACAGGGAACTGTCACTTTTGCCTTTGAGAGATTCCAGGCTAAGTTTTGTGAGGCAGGTAACTTACCTCAGCGAGGGAACAGTGAGGCTGGCAGGCCTCAGCCAGGTCCATGGCCCTTACCCCGTCACAAGTCTCTCCTGAAGAAATGGTATGTGATGCAGATAATTATATAACTTATATAAATACAAATTATTTATACACACAGATTGTCTTAGCTCACACTGCCATAACAAAATACCACAGACTGGGTGGCTTAAACAACAGAAGTTTACTTTCTTACAGTTTTGGAGCCTGGAAATCCACGATCAGCTTTGCCAGCATGGCTGGGTTCTGGTGAAGTCTCTCTCTCTGGCTTGCGGATGGATACCTTCTTGCTGTGTCCTCACATGGCAGAGAGAGAGAGGAGAGAAAAGGAGAGGGGGAGAGAGGGAGATGGGGAGAGGGAGAAAAGGAGGGAAGGAGACAGGGAGGGAGCAGTCTAGCATGTGAGCTCTCTGGTCTCTTCTTATAAGGGCACTAATCCCGCCCTGAGGGCCCTACCCTCTTGACCTCATCTAAACCTATTTATCTCCTAAAGGCCCCATATCTCCAAATACCATCACATTGGGCATTAGAGCTTCAACATATGAATTTTGGGGAGACACAATTCAGTACATAGCACAGATGTTTAATACAATGCTATTTATAGTAGTGAAGATTAAGAGCAACCTAAGTGGCCAAAAATAGGGAAATGTTTAAATAAATTAGATAAACCATACTGTGGGATATTTTGTAGGAATTAAAATGATGATTGTAAAAGATGTTAGTTCTTTGTACACATGTAGAAATGTTTACATTATAATGTTAAGAGGAGAGGGAGGCAGGTTTCAGAAGTGTGTATACAGGGTGAGCTAAAGAATGCACAGGACAGAGCCTGACAGGAAATATATCTAAAATTCTGTGGTGGTTGCCTCTGTGTGGGGGGATTAGGGCAGAGATTATTGTTATTAGTTTTATACGTTCATGTTGAAAAATTCAAACAATGCAGAAAGCCCGAAGTAGAAAGTTGCAAAATTGCTGCAGATTCCACTACTCAGTGAGAATTATTAATGTTAATATTCTGGAATAGTCTTCCAGGCACCTTTTGGTGCATGTGTCTTTACAGGTAGAGCGTTTTGTATACATGGAGTTTATAATCAAGGAGAAGTAATAAATGAATGATGCTGGTACCTTCATGGTATATCTCAGCCCTCTGTGCTTCTTACCTGTACTTCCTGGAATATGTTGCAGAATGAAAAGTGTCACCTCCTGGTAGAGCATGAAACCCAGAAGCTGAAGGCCCTGGACGAAAGCCATAACCAGAACCTAAAGGAATGGCGGGACAAGCTTCGGCCACGCAAAAAGGTAACCCTGGCTGGGCTGGTGGGCTCAGTGGTGGGCTCTGCTTCGTGTTGTGCCATCGGTTCTGCCTGGGGTATGGATATAGATACAGATATGGATAAGGTACAGATTTATGGATTTATTTGAAGGAACTGGCTCACCCAGTTGTTGGGACTGTGAAGCCTGAAATCTGCAGGGCAGACTGCAGGCTGGAGAGCCAGGGAAGAGTTGATGTTGCAGCGCTGAGCCCCAGGGCAGTATGGAGGCCCAATCCCTCTTTCTTTAGCGGGACCTCAGTCTTTTCTCTTAAGGCCTGCAACTGATTGAGTGAGGCCCAACCACATTTTGGAGGGTAAGCTGCTTTATTCAGTCTACTGAGTTAAATGTTAATCACATATAAAAAAATTCCTTCACAGTGACATCTAGACTAGTGTTTGACCAAACAACTGGCTACCATGGCTTTGCCAGGTTGACAAATAAATTGACCATCACAGGGCCTCAGTGTGGTCATTTGTAAAGTGAAGATAATGAATACTGTATAGTGTTATGCAGAAAGCCACCAGCCCACAGTATAGGCCAAGGATGTACTCATGTCCTCCCACTCTCCTAAACTCTCTGAGGAGACAGCTGCCCTAATTACCCTTGATCATGTGTCCTGAGCCCTGAGGTTTGTTCTGCCGTCGTACTTGAGCTCTACTTGCTGTAACTGTGATCTGCCCAGGAGGCAGTTGCCCACCTCAGCCATATAACGGCCTTGGGAGTCCTTGAATAGAGGCTTCCCTCCCTGTGCTAATGGAGCTTTCTAGCTGGAAGCTGGCCAGGGTCCCAGACCTTCCTGTTAATAGGCCCACGCTTATCTGTAACCACGCATGGTCCGCTAGGACTTTTGATACTTGACACTCAAATCAATTACACTCCTGCTGACACAGGCGGATTTGGCATCAGGAAATAGATGCTCACCTGGTTCTCTTACCTAGGGCTTCTATACCCTTGGCACATCCTGAGAGGCTGAAAATGAATCATCATCTTGCCTCTAGCAACTGCCCAGATTGCTTCTTGCGGGTGCCTGGGCTTAGGGGAGGTGCCGCAGGGTGTATCTGGAGAGCCGTTGGATTTTGCTGGTGCGGGCTGCCTCTTTCCAGAATTCTTTGTAGAATCATCCCATCCTTAAGTCACCTGGGTTGCTGCTGGAACACTGGCCCGGAGGTGGTGATCTGCATCCTGCAATAAACGTTCTTTTACACTCTTGCATTTCAGTCAGCAGCTCTGAGCTGCTGCCCATGTATGGGGGGGCAGGCGAGATGACTGTACATTGTGGAGTATTTTTAGAAAAATTCAGATTTCTTTCTTTCAGTAAGTATAGAATATCTTGTAAGGTCAATAAGGTGTTGCTTGGGTCATAGCTGACACAGAGTGTGGCCTCAGACAAGTCTTCCCTCCTGAACCTTGCTTTTTGGGGCCATAAGATGAAGATAACATTTCTTCCCTTAAAACAGGTGTTAGTACACTATTGCCCATGGGCCAAATCTGACCCACCACCTGTATTTGTAAATAAAGTTTTAATGGAACACAGCCATGCTCATTCATTTACATATCGTCTCTGGCTGATTTTACACCAAACAGCAGTTGAGTAGTTGCAACAGAGACCTTAAGGTTTGCAAAGGCAAAAAAATTTACCATCTGGCCCTTTACAGAAAAAAGACTGCTGACTCCTGCCGTAGGTTCTATAGAGGAATATATAGGTTATATAGAGGTAAAATAGAGTAGTGCTCAAGAGCATAGGCTTTAAGGAAGACAGACGTGGGAGAAAGTCCTAGCTCCCCCATTACTCGCTGTGAGACCCTGGGCAAGTTACTAAACCTCTCTGTGCTCAAAAAAGTGGTAGCTAGGCGCTTCCCTGGTGGCGCAGTGGTTGAGAGTCCGCCTGCCGATGCAGGGGACACGGGTTCGTGCCCCGGTCTGGGAAGATCCCACATGCTGTGGAGTGGCTGGGCCCGTGAGCCATGGCCACTGAGCCTGCGCGTCCGGAGCCTGTGCTCCGCAACGCGAGAGGCCACAACAGTGAGAGGCCCGCGTACAAAAAAAAAAAAAAATAATAATAATAATAGTTTTAAAGAGAGAGACATAATAGAATGCTGGTCAAATCCTGTGAAAGTGGTCACTTCTATAGTGAAAGTAATAAAGAAGCCACATTTACTGAGTAACCCATGTGTGCCTGGCTTTGCAGATGGTGGCACAGTGTTTCAGAGCTTGAACTCTGAAGTTAGACCCATCTTGGCTCTGCTCCCAGCCAGCTGAATGACCTTGGGCAAGTGACCTAAGCTCTCTGAGCCTCAGTTTCTCCATCGTTAATGGGGATAGTGGTATCTATCTCATAGGGTGAAGATTAAATAAGATGTAATGCACTTAGCATAGTGTCTGACATGTAGGAAGTACTAAGTAATTATAGCCCATTAGTTTTTCATTTAATCTTTGCAGTAGCCCGGCCAGGCAGGTAGTGATATTGCCATCTTACACGAGAGAAAACAGGCTTGGAGAGGAAAGGTAGCATGCAGAGGCCCACCCAGCTGGTAATGGAGCTGAATCCTATTTGACTGTAAAGCCCCTGCTCTTTCCTCTGCACTCTGCTTCCTTTCTTAATCGAATAATTATTTATTTTTGGAGAACCCTCAAGAAATTTTTCTGGTAGGACACAAGTTAGCTAGATAAACTTGCGTGTGCCCAAGGGAAGCTCCTGCAGTGCTTGTCATCTAGATGCTCCCCTTGCAGTTATCTGATGTGCTTTTACAACGTAGAGAACCCCTGTCCTACCACAGATGTTCAGAATTAGAATCTCAGGGGGGTGGCATGACTGCATGTATATTTTGAAAAGAAGTCCCCTGATTTTGCAGGACGGTGCCCCGGTTAGGAACACCATGTAACTCGGACAACACTGCTGTTAAACCTCTTGCTTTATTTTCTACCTCAGGTTTTTCTCCATTCTTTGGGTTGTTTTCCTGCCAGATGATTTGCACACCCCATCTAGACTGGCATTTCCCCAAAGCAGAGCCCTTGGTCCATAGGAAACTCCTGCGTGGCTGTGGCACGAGGAAGGAGGAGGTGGTACCTACCTTCTGGGTGATGGGCGCTGGGACAGGAGCGAGGGAAGACCAAGTTACCCAAGCACTGAGGCCTGGGAGGGGAAGTTCCAGAGAAGGCCACTTTGGTGGGGGTCCTGTGGTTGGGGAAGACTTGTGTCCTAAGGGATCCAAACGAGCTCCGTCTGCCCTCTGTCCTAGGCTCTGGAAGAAGAGCTGAACCAGAAGAAACGAGAGCAGGAGATGTTCTTCAAAATGAACGAGGAGGCAGAGTGCCTGAGCCCCACCACTCCAAACAAGGCCACCAAGTTCTTCCCCTACAGCTCTGCGGATGCTTCGTAACAGCCGCCCAGGGCTGTGGCTGGCAGGCCGGTGGGCCTCGGGGCCCTCCCATTCTCTGTGAACAAGTAACTCAGGAGCCCCTTCCCCCTTGCTTCCATGCCGGCTCGAATCCAGCCCCTTGCCTTGTGCCACCCCAGCTGTGCCTGACAGACCCACCCGGCGTTTCTGACTTCTCGCTGGTCGTGGAGGGCGAGGTTCTATGATGTGCTGCCTGATACTAACGTGCATTCCATTTGAGCCCCAGGTTCCTTTGAGCTGTCAGCGACTTGGGCTGTTGGGGGGGCCAGGGACCAGGAGGAATAGGTGTTCTGTGGCCTCGAGGCCCCTCCTGTTTGCCAAAACACCAGCTTTGCTGTCTGTGGGCACAAAGTGCTACTGCTGAAGTCACCGTGGGCGTGTCCTATTGTAATTGCCGGTGGCTTTTCAGCCATTCCCTGCAGTGTCAGACCAAGAACCACGCCTTCTAACAGCCATTCTGGTTCCCAGTGGAGCCTAGTCTGCAGCCAGCTGCTCAGGGGGTGCCCTTCTTCCTCCAGTTCCCCCAATCTGCTTTCTTCTTGAGACAGCATCTACAGTGGTGGGATGGGGAGAGGCTGAACGCTTCACCCTGATCTCAAGTGTTTCGTGCCATCTTGTACTCTCCCTTCCTGCACATACATGCACGCACGCACGTGCGCGCACACACACACCCTTGGCCCCCTGGGCCTCTTGTGCCAGGTGGATTGGAACATGTTCGCTGCCTGGGCCTGCGCCACTGAACACGTGAGGGGAGCCGTTGGTGTGGGCGTGCTGGGGGTTGGCACCAGAGGCACAGGCTGAACCGCCAGCCTGCACGGGATCCTATGTTCAGGGATAAATTCCTCGCCGCACAAGACTTTCCCACCCCAGTCATTCTGTCTCACACTTGCCCACCCTGTCTGCAGGTGATACGGGAAGGCTGCTTCCCTCTGCTCTGTGTCCCTCCTAGTTCAGAGTCCGGCCTCACACTTCAGACAGAGGCTGGCAGTCAATGGAACTTCTGTTCAGGGAGAAAAAGCATCAGGGAGAAATGCAGTGCTTCCCGCCCCCAGGAACCTGGCAAAAGCAAAGCTTCTGTATCTCAGATGGAATGCTGGGCCTTTGGATGACTCAGCTGGCCTCCCACAGATTCTGAGCCCCACAGGCTGCAGAGCGTAGATAACCCAATAAAAGCAAATGCTCAACCCAGCGTTCCGTTTATTTACAAAGAAAACTTTTTTTCACCTTTATGTCTAACTTGAAAAAAATATAAATAAATGGCTTCCTTAGGAAAATGCCTGCTTTAAAAAAAGCGGAAAACTGAAGGTGATTCTGAGGAATCAAATGGGTGTACCGAGTCTGGGTACTATTTTGGTGGTGATGGGGTGGTTGACACACCCTGGGAGGACTTCCTCTTTCTTCACTCCTATAGGTAAGGGTTCAGTGCTTTGTCTTTCTGAAGCAATTCCCTGGAGTTTTCTGGGGACTGGTTGTAAATGGATCTTGGGAAAGTAGGGTAACCATTCAATAGAAAAAGGGACTTGGGGTTCCAAAGACTTACATATGCAGTAAAGATGCATGGGGGCCGTGGGAAGGCACTGGTCCTCTTCGGTTAGTGAGCACTCAGCTTGCCTGCTTCACTATTTGACCCAGAAGGGACAATTTTCAGGTCTCACACAAATGAGACAAGTGAAACAATTATGCCCTTTGATTCTCTTTGGTGCACAGGTGCTGGGAAAACGTGAACTAACAGTGTAACTACAGAACACAGACCCAGTTCCACCAGGCGAGGCCAGCATTGGCGAATGGTCAGGTGATGGCCAGTGGCAGGGCTGACTTGTGCTTTAGTTACAATACTGCCTTTTGTAGCCTGGGGTGTGAGAATGAGTATTAGGTGAAATGCCGGTTTCATGGTGTAGGTGAAAGTCTTTGATCATTTCCTTCTTTGGTTTGTCGTTCACATTGGAATCTCATTCAAGGAGCTGCTGCTTCCTGCTCAGTGCTGCCTTAGCCTTAACACCTCCCCTGTCCTTCCTGGATGGGGTCTGGTTGGGTCTCCCAGTCTCACAGTTGAGCCAGCGTGCAATGCCCAGCATTGAGAAGGCCCGTGCAGTATTCTCTGTGTTCTGTGCTAATGTTTTCTCTGGAAGGAACAGACGGAACTGTTTCACATTTACAGTCAATTTTTAGCAGAGTAAATAGAACTAACTTATATTTTCCTCTTTATGAAGAATAGAAGTTATTTTTATGTAGTTTCCAAACTTTATATAAAAAACTTTTGTAAAATGTTCTCTTCAGAGTTAACTGCGAGAATGTAAATATGCTTCTAATAAAATAACAAGGTTGGAAACTCTTTGCATTTGGGTTTGTTCTCTTGGATTCGGGTGGGAAAAGCAGGGCAGACTTAAACAAGAAAGGGTTTCCTATCTTCTGAGTACACCGGTGCCTCCCAGGTTGTACAGCAGGTCAGACATTGGGGTTTCTGTTCTGAAAGAAGTTATGCTTGGCTGTGTGTGTGTTTTCTCTACAGACATTTATATCATTCTCATTTAACAGTGAACATTTGACCCCAGGAGTTTTTACATGTTAACTTATTGAATCCTTTCAACAACCCACGAGGAAGACATTGTCATTCTCGTTTTATAGACAAGGAAACATGCTGGGTAAGGGGAGAGTCGGGCGAAAGCTCAGAGCACTGGTAAGTGCTGATAAAGTGCCTGTGGCTTCAAAGTTTGAACCTCACTGTCTCCTCCACAGCTCCTCTCCTGCCAACTGCACCCATTACATTTAGCAAAGGTCACACACACTTAACCACCAGCATCTCTGCCATGTTCAAAAGTGTCAGCCATGGGCTTCCCTGGTGGCACAGCGGTTAAGAATCCGCCTGCCAGTGCAGGGGACACGGGTTCGAGCCCTGGTCCGGGAAGATCCCACATGCCGCGGAGCAACTAAGCCCGTGTGCCACAACTTCTGAGCCTGCACTCTAGAGCCCACGAGCCACAACTACTGAGCCTGCGCTCTAGAGCCCACGAGCCACAACTGCTGAGCCCATGTGCCACAAAAACTGAAGCCCGCATGCCTAGGGCAACAAGAGTAGCCACCGCAATGAGAATCCCGCGCACCGCAACGAAGAGCAGCCCCCGCTCACCGCAACTGGAGAAAGCCTGCGCACAGCAAAGACCCAATGCAGCCCCCAAAAAAGTGTCAGCCATGCCTCTAAAACCTCATTCAGGGGTTCTTAACCTGGAGTCCATGGACCCCCCCCCCCCAAACACACACAAGGGATCCATGGGTAGGATTCAGGGTGTCTTTGCACCTGGATGGGAAATGTTTGGTCTTTAGTTTCACTAACCTCCAACTGAAACACAGCATTTCCTTTCCTTATGGGTATAGGCAACAAACTCTAATATTATTAGCAGTACTTGTGACTATGTCAGCAGTAGAAATCACAGAGACTGCATCTCACGTTACAGCTGTTGCAGACATCTTCAATTATCATTTTCGTTCATCATTTAATTATAGTAGTTATTGGACCTACTACTAGATCTTGTTATTTAATGAGATACAAATATAATACATATGACATATATCACACATAGTGTATATATTTTCTGATATTTTGACACCTCTATTTCATTATGACTGGTTTCACTTGTAATCTATGTGCTTTATACTGTGCATTTGAAAATACTATTCTGAGAAGGGGTTTATATTGTTTGTGGAATGCCTTAAGAACCCCTCCTCTGTCTGTAGCCCTGAGTTGTCACTGGCCTAGAAACTTTCCTGTCACTGTCCAAGAAACCTTTTCACCAGCAGGTGGCAGTCCACTGTCACAGTGTCCCAAAGGTCTGTGAACTCAATGTGTCTGAGGGGATGCAGGCGGATAAGCAGCTGGCATGCCTCCCATTAAGGAGTAGAAATTGACTGAGGTTCCCAGGGAAAAAGGTTCATTCGACTGGTGGAAAAGACAGTGCATTAGGGGATGTGTGGCACTTTTCCCAAGTTCCCATGAGATTTCCCATGAGATCCTTCCACATTAATTGACACCTCTTAAACGCCAAGTGTTAGAGACGCTGAAATGAATAAGACATTGACACTGGCTTCAAAATGCTTGTCCTCCTGGGGAAACAGACCTGGTGAAGCAGAGTGTTAGTTCAGGCTGATGTAGCCTGGGAGAATCAGGGAAGGCTTCCCAGTGGAGGTGATGCCGAGTCTAGGAGAACAAACTTGTATGTGCCAAAACACATGCATTCAGAGACTGGGCTATAGTTGAGAGTGAATGGTTTATGGGCCATGAGGCTGAGAAAAGGACAGGGCCAGACCGGCATTCCAGGCTCAGGCTGACCTTTACTGCCCCGAGAGCAGTACGAAGGCTGGGAAAGAGTTTACTCAGAGGAAGGACAATTGAAATCATGAGTGTAGCAATCCAAGAGATGGGCCGAGAAGAACAGAGACAAAATCAAATGGGAAGATTGGCTCACAAAGGTTGGAGACTTTAGGAAGGAAAGGGCAGACTGCAGGCTTCATGAGGGCAGGGAGTAAGACCTTAGCTGACCCCTAAACACCCAGAATCCAGCACGCTGCAACACCAAGATACGCAGTCTGGGCTTCTCATGCCATAAAGGGAGCAGTAGGGATCTGGGGGCTATAGAATGGATGTATATTAACTCACTGTGCTACCATGGGTGTTCACTATGTCTGATTAACAAGTATGTCTTTAGTTAAAAATGAAACAGAGAACTTTCAATTCCAGTGATGGCAGACTAGGTCATCCTGATCAGTCTTGACACTGAGGACGATTAGAAAATCTGGACAAAAATACTGAACATGAGACAGGCTGGGACCTGGGACCCTTTGCTGCAGTG